ATGGTACTAAGAAATTGTTTAACTATAGATGCAGGAATAGAGAGAATGATACTAGGGATAAAGCACTTGCATCCTAATGCAAAACTTGACATGCAATCAATAAGTAAAGCATTTATGGAAATTGAGGTGCGGAGATCACTAAACTGGAAACCGATGCAATGGTCAAGCCACCAATATCCCCTCCTAGCCACATTCACCCGCCCAATATCACCACAACTGGCTTTAGTGACTAGGGATAGCATCGTATCTCATATAATTTGGTTCTACCCGTCAGCACACAAGGTCCTCGAGTCGATGGTCACACACTCGAGTCTCAAGCATTACCTATGTGAGCTCCTAGTTGATAGAGGATGGTCACATCGTCCACCAACTAGGAGTCAATATCAACTAACTGGTTTAAGGGTTCATTCACGTAAAATCAAGTACTAACCTAATTCTAGGCTAGAACATGGCAAACATACAATCATACACCCAAACTCAAAAAGAGGCTTTAAAAACTCCAGATTAACTCAAATTAACCATAAATTCACAATACTCATTCAATTATATACCATAATGTAGTTAGATTTTGGGGGACAAGCCCCCAAGTACCTTAAGATACTACCCCATGAAAAGGGAGAAGGACGCCATAGAAAGAAAGAAAGAAAGAAAACATGCATAAGAGGCTCTTTGTCATGCAGAGAATCCTCCTCCAAGCTCCTTCTTTTCCTCTTACTCTCCAAGGTAGTAGATTTTCTATCTAGGATTTGTAACTCCAAAGTTTGTCTAAAATGAGGGGATCGTCCCTCTATTTATAGAAGATCGGTGACATTGAAGACTTTGCAGCTCCATGTTGCAAAGTTGATACGATGACATGTTTAGCTTCTCAGATGGAGATATCACAGTTGGACTTCGTTGTCGCGAACTAAAATTCGTGCTTATGATCTTTCTCGCGGTCTCAAACATGAATGTCTGCGAGGTGGACCGCGAGACCCTTCTGTGCTCTTGTCCGCAGCTTCTCCAAGTTCGCGGCTCCTGCAATCAGAAATTACGGTCGGTTACTTCACTCTTCAATCGTGAACTCTTCTAGACCTTCATCTTCTCGGCCTTTAACTTCGACCTCTGTTGTGATCTTCTTTTCTTACCATTTTTGCACACTTTCCCTACCCCTTAGTTCCAATTCTTTGGCAAAAACACTTAAAAACCTGAAATGACACTTAAAACACTATTAAAACACAAGATAACGCATTTCTAGTCCAAATCAATACTTAAAATTCTCTACAGGGTTGTTTGGCTTAGGAAATTGGGGGAGGGATTTAATTTTGTCACAAGATTTCACCAAATTGTTGTGTTTGGTAAGCTTCCATTGCTGAGGCATTTTGTCCATTAAGAATTTCAAAATTCTGCCATTTAGGAATTTCAAAATAGTTGATGGACCCCAGCTATTTCAAAATCTCTGGTTTTTTATTTTGGTTTTTCCAACCTTGCCCCATGCTGCCCATTCATCACCAACAATGAATCTTTCTCATCTCTTCCCACTGAATCTCTGCCGACTTTCGATTGCCCATCTTATCTCTCCTCTGCTCTCCGGTCTCATCCTCGACATCGCTCAAATACACCTCACCGAAGTTGGACATGAGAGAGAAGGAGATCAGAGATTCCATTGTTTCTGATCCCTTTGATCTGGGTTTCCAGGGACAGTTTCTTCTGTGTTTTCCTTTGATGGCTACAATCTAGGGAGAAGATGACCGCCGACAAGGTGGGAAGACACACAGAAACCCAATTGCAATCCCATCCCCGATTGCAAACTGATATGGGGAGAAGATGAGATTGAAGCTCAATCGAAGATGCAAGGGAGCGAGTGATAGGTTCTTGTGCTTGGACGGTCGGGATTGAGACCTTTCACAACGGTCTCCGCTTTCATGAAGATAGGGGATGTTGACAGCGAGATCTAGACTTTCTCTTTGTCGCCACATCTGCAACATGAAGGTGAGAGACTGGGTTCTGGTCTTCATTCAATTGCTTCCTTTGTCGGCGGGATGATGGGTTCTCGACTACTTCTGGATTTCATACTCAATTTCTAGATTTCTTGCATTTCTTGGTTTTATTGCCGACCTCATCGTGATACATAGAAGTTGGGAGGGGAAGGAGGAGGACGCTGGGAGGGAGGCAAGGACCATGGTGGGAGCTTCTTCCTGAGTTTTATCGACGACGTGTCGTCGGGAGGGAAAGCGAGTACGAAGATTGGATAAAAGGCGGCCTGATTCTAAGCCGATCGACTCTGAGCTGAAGGTTGGAATGAAGAAGACGAAGGGTTAGGAAAGGTGCAAAATTGACTTTCATTACTTTGGCCTGAATTCCTAATTTGTAAACAAACACATAATTTGGGCCAAATTCTTCATACAAAATATATGGGGTTTTAATTTAGGGATTTGGGCCTAAATTCCTGAAAAATCTCTAAGAGCAAATTTCCTAATCCAAACAACCCCTACGCGTACATGAACCATAAACCTCGTAACTTGATGTTGAAATAATCAACCGAGGCTTCTCTTGTAGAAACTGATGGTGTGCGTCAACTAATACATATGAGGCGCAATACCATGGACGAATCAAGGTTACAGTCTTACAGATCAAGCCATAAGTCTCGAGCCATTTTGGCGAATCTAACGTTGCTAGTTGCTACGAACATCCAGGTATGATATTCTTCGCCCCACTAGTCGTTGTCGATATGCTGGCATCCACAAAATCGAGCTTGCTCTTTACTATGTGAAAATATGTTTTGTCACCCATTCAATTTCCATAGTTTTCTTATGTGAGAAGATTCCCTACGAACATTTGTCTACGGTTGTGTCATTGATAGATTGTAAAAGACGAGCTCGTGGTGGAACTTAATCTTGCCTCTTTTGACGATAGAACCAGATTTGCTTGAACTATTAAGATCCTCATCGTGTTTATCTCTCATAATTCTATTATTGAAAAATCTTATTGAAAAATATTGGATTTATGAAGATAAAGTAGAGAATGGTTAGTATTGAATTTATGAAATAGTCATTACTATTTTGGAGACCGATTTCAAATATAAATTATGTGTCACTGTATTCTACACTTTGTAAAGAAAGTTAACATACAATTATATTTGTCTAATACACAAATATTAGGTATATATTGGTTGCAAAATGAATTTTGTTTGTATGGTTTGTTTTATTATGATAGAATATTAAACATATTGCATGAAGGGCAAATGGTAATATTTTAAAATGACTTATATGAATTTTTTAACAAATTAACACATTTGAAAATATCTATGTTGTCAGGTGTTAATATTTATTAAAATATTCATATTTGGCCAAATGACTAGTTTTGTAAATAAACCAAGAAAACGACCATCAATCCCAGTGCTAAAAAAACGTATGGCAAAAATAACCGGAATGATAGATAATCGTCCGAATTCGACCTAATTGGATAGAGTAAAACTCGAATCCGAAAGATTTTCAGTGGGTACGAATAGGGGTGGGCAATGGGCGGGTTGGGTAGGTTTTGGTCTCAAACTGACCCACCCGCTTACTAGCGAGCTGGAATAATCGTGACCCGCAACCCACCCATATACCTCTGCGGGTTAGGTTGGGTGGGCGGCGGATAGGTGCGGTTGGGTCGTGGGTCAACCCGCAAAAACAATTCTCCAACTAGCCATTAAGAAAGTTGACTAACATTTATAATAAGTTCATAGCAAGCTAGAAGACTGTATCAGTAATCTGTGATTTTTTATACAATTAATAAATTATAGTATGCATCCCAATATTTAATTAATATTAACAATAATTTGCATACCAATATCCAATATCTAATAGAGATATTACACAACACAAAACCAATAATAGTAGTCAAAACTATTCTTTATTCTCCATATTTTGAAGCATATGGTCAGACTGTAGTACAGTTCGAAAATATGATGAATATTCGATACTATAAGAAACAATATTTTTCATGTAAAAATAGGATGCGGGTCATACGAGTAACCCGTAATCCACCCACCACCCATCCACATAAGTATGGGTGGAAAATTTATCAATCTGCAATCCACCCACATCAATCACCCATTGCTTGCGGTTCGGGTTATTTGCGGACGGATCGATATCAATCCGCGGATTAACCACCCACATGACCACCCCTAGGTACTGGTAAACCCTCAATCCGAATAATGTTGGTAATGGGTGAACATGATTTTATATTTAGCATGCAAATATAATAATTTCATAAAATCGTGTTGTTTTTAATTAATTTTCTTCATTCTAGTGATTTATTGTTGTACTTTCACTTATATAATGTGAGTATATGTGTGAATGTCAACATGTTAGTTGGAGTTACAAACAAAAATTATTATCCATGGATAATTGTCGATACCCGATATCCGAATGGCATGTGCATCAGTTTGATTTTCTACCTGATTCTTATGTGAGAATAGATAAAGGTAAAAAAAATAGAATTACTTTAGGTAAAATAACAAATATGCACTATCCGCTCTCGACCAATCCCATTGTCATCCAAAAATCAAAGAGCAAGACGGAGTTTTCAATGTTTAGTGTATAATAGTCTTTGAACATCGAGAATTTGTCGAAATCCACCCATTGAGGTGCGCTTTCCAATTCTTAGCCTCACAAAAATTTGATACCCTATTTTTTTTATATAACGGGCCTCGCTTGGATTAAAATCTGGGATCTGCAACTCTCAAACGTTTGGCTAGCTACTCACCGTTAGACTATCTTACATTCGGTAAAATTTGATACCCTATTTATTATGCTGCGAAATAGTTGATTTCATCAAACCATTTGATTGTGGGTGACAAACCCAACATTCACTTCGAGCAAATAAACTGCTCCATGCTAGGGAAAATAGAAACCGTCTGATAGCGGTGAGACGGTGGGTAGCTAGCCACACGTTTCATTTTCTTTAGCCGCGTTTTTTACAATAAACCGCCCTCTTACATTTTCTTGCGTCGCACGCAGAACCACCCTATTCCATGACGCACCAAAACTCAAACTCTGTTTTACAAACAAGGAAAGACTGCTCTCCTCCCCTGCCTCCAGCACCACAAACGACCGCCAACAGCGAAAAATGAAGATACACAAGTCCTCCTCCTCCTCCTCCTTTTCCGAAATTACACCGGCCGGCCACCAGAATTCTTTTTCAGCCTACGCCCTCTCCAAATCTGCAGCAGCCCACTCAACAGGAGACACCTTCGACATCGACGACGAACCCACTCTCCACTTTCCTTCTATTTCTACCTTTGTCGCTCCTCCACCTCTTCCACCTTCCACTAGAGAATCTGCCAACCACAACAACTCCGCCAAGTTCAAATCTCCATCTCATCCTTCTCGTCGTCGTGAGTTTTCATTACTACTCTTCTTCTACAGTCATTAACGAGTGGAATTTTGTTTTGCCAAGTTATCTGACTGCGACATTTGTATTATTGGCTGAATGCAGAGTCGAGGCGGGTGGACTTAGCGGCGGCTCGGAGAGATTACGAGCAGTGCAGAACAGAGGCCCTGAAAACAGAGCTCAAAGCTAGGCTGAATTGCTCCATTGTGAGGCGACTGAAGGAGCTGTCAGAGATGGAAGCGACGAGCAACGCGGGGATTGAGATTGCCGACTCGGTTGATTTTCTGAAGCTGCTGAACCAGGATTCGGATTCGGCTCTTAAGGAGATTGGGGAAATCAGGGACAAGAGTCGGGAGGGAGTTGTGCGGCTGCAGGAAGGCCAGTTGCTGGTGAAGAGGTCGCAAGACCAGCTTCGATCTGCCCTTCGCAACAACTTCCTTTTCTCTGTAGAATAAGGGACCTTGGAGTTGGTTTTCGATTCCGGAATCACTTGCTAAGCTAGAGATTTTGTGTATATTACGATTCTCTCACTTCTTCTTCCTGTCTGAGTTCTTCGTGTAAAGAGTATTGTTTGTAATTAGCCAGGGTGGTGACTTATTATTTAAATTAGCCCTCCAATTCTGTGGTGAATGATCCATGTAAGCATATTTGTAGAACCAAGAGAATCTTGTGTTTTTGTGATAACTTTTTTTTTCTGTTTTCTTTTCCTTATTTTTTCTCATAACCAAACCATTCAAGGCCCTATTCTTTGCTTGAGAGGTTTTGGCGTTTTGCAAAAATCTGATTCATATGCTGGATGACCAAGACAATAGAAGCCGGGGATTTTTCCCTCGAGAAGATTAGACAGTAGCCCACAAAATGGCGCATGTTTTTGTGGAGACTAAATAGATTGTAACATCTGGTTAGTTAGGTCATTACGCCCCCGGACTCACAAGTCACAAGCAATGAGTGGCACGGCCCAGGGGAAATAGGAGCGGAAACGAGTGAAGGGAAAGGAGGAGGAAAGCAACAATAATAGAGGAGGAGGAACCGAAGAAGTACAACAGAGAATCATATAAAAAGCCAAAAAGGCTACTATATGGGAACTGCCTGTTGAAGGCCCACCGTACATTTGTGACTTTATGTAGGCTTAGTGTATGGTTCATGTTAACATAGGTCTGCATTTAGATTACATCGTACATTCGTCAATTTTAATTATTTAGATTACCAATTAAATGAAGTTTGCCCCATAGTTATATACCCTAACTTATAATGTGTAAACCACGTCCCTAATTCTCTAACTCGAATCATAAAATTCAATTATCCTAAATAATTAAACCAGTTGTTATGATTTATCGAAATATAGCAAAGTACATATAACAAGTGTGAATGCGACCGTACGCTAGCCTACCGTATGTCCCATTGAGTTTTGATATTTAGACAAAGAATTAATCAGAGTTTGGGACAAAGATACTATACCATAACCCCTAATGGGTGAATCTCAGCCCCCAATTCAGTAACCCAAAGTATGTGATTCGTTTAATCTTAAAAATGAAAATTAATGATTCTGATTCGTCGAAATTTTCGTTGATTTCATTTTAAGATTAAACGAATCTCATGGTTTGGGTGAGAAAAATTAGGAACTGGGGTTCACCCATTAGAGGTTAGGGTATAGTATCATGCCCCAAACTCCGGTTAATTCATGATCTATATAGCAAAACTCAATGAGGCGTACGCTAGCCTGAACTAAAAAATTCAGAAAATCAACCGTCATTTTTTAATTTTTGGGTGGTAATTTTTTATTCTTTAGTGCACTCACTTTTTTGGGTGCATTCAGTGCACACGCTTCATAACCGTCATTTTAAACATGTGATTTATGTCAAAATGATGTCAATCATCACTAATAATGTGATGAACAATAACGCACATGAATTTGGACAAAAACCATTAAAGATTTACTTTAATTTGAAGGATTTAGAGTTTAGAGATTTAGGGTTAGGGTTTACAATTTGGGCTTTGGGTAATTCGCTAATTAGTTGTTAACATATGTTATACAATCATATTACACTAATTCTACAAATTAAAATTCAAAATTCGACACCTTAAAACTAGTTTTTGAGTTGGGTGCATTGAATGCACTCATTTTTGTGAGTGCACCGAAGTAGTCACCATATATATATATACATATATATATATGGACAGTTCTATCGTACCTTTGGTAAAATCAAAGGTATAGTATATATACCTTAAGTAAGAAAGTGATATATAGACCTTAAATTGACCAGAGTTTAGGACATGGTACTATATGCTAATCCTTAAAGATTAATATATGGGTCATAATTCTATAAATCTCATACACTAAGATCATGATTAGAAACAACAATCGATGATCATGATTCGTCGAAATACATGCAACAAATTACATGCAATATTTTGGGGTTTAATGTTCATTATGTAGATAACGAAGACCTAGGGTTCACTAAAGGTTAGCGTATAGTATCATGATCAAATTAAATTCCGGTCAATTCAAGATCTAGATATCATTTTCTTATTCAAGGTATACTATACCTTTGATTTTATATAACCGGGGGTGATTGCAGGACCGATGCTTTCAAAGTGGACTCACCATACTCAAAGTACGATAGAAGCTGCCATATATGTATATATGTGGTAAAGAAGGGTATACTCTAGGAGTACAACATACTCTAGGTGATTTGCTTGTTAAATGTACTTCTATGAGCTCCAACCAATGTAAGGAATTTTTCCATAAATACCACCCAAAAACTAAAAAATTCAGAAAATACCACCCTTTCCAGAAAATTCCAAGCATATCACTATTTCACATAGACCGCATCACCCTATGGTGGTTTACAAAAGGATCGCAAAGGTGGGGCACGGTTTATATTTTGATAAGTAACCGTGGGGGCCAGCTGCGATTTTATGGCTGCCCTAAATAGAATCGCAGGGCTCCCCGGCGGTTTTATGTCGGCAAAGAGGAATGTCACTGGCTCCAGCAGTCGGATTTATCGACACATAAACCGCATGGTAGCGGCTTATGAGGTCTCTCCATCCCCTAGACAACCAATTATAATAATTTGTGTTTGAATTTTTTAGCTGGGGCCAGTGACCGTTACTGTTTATTATAAAAATTTATTTTTATATTTTTCTTTTAAAGAATAATGTATTGAAATTATCACTAAATTAATTGTAATATTATTGTTCTTATTTTACAAAATTTGAATTGTGTATACCTTCAACAAAGATGCAGATATATGTGCTACTTTCCAAGAAAGTATGCTATATTTAATTAAAATAAATTATAAAAATTGAAATAGAGACATAATTATTTGATTCAATATATACCCATTCGATGGTAATATTTTTGTTTCCATAAGATCTTTTAGAAGCAAATACATTTGCCTCAAAAACTTATATTACAAACAAAAATATTTCTCTAGAACCAAATTAAAAGATAGAAAAGTAGGTGTTTTAAAGTGGAATTGCCATCAATTTTTTTTCCAATTCTTAAATCAGACGCAGATATTATTTGCTACGATGTTTGCTTCTGAAGGGAATTAGAGACAAAGGAGCCCGATACAAATAACGCATATGTCTCCATAGATATACGGGGAAAAAAATAAGTGGCTTTTGGAAGCCAATAACCTCTACATCTATAGCCTGATTTTCTTGTAGTGGGGGTTTGCATGTTTGGTGAAAACCGCCACATCCCCTAGCGGTTTTCTCCAAACATTTTGCCTGTAAAAGATAGTCACAGATACCCCAACTCTTCACCATTCCCTCTCCTTCTTCTTCTGATTTGTTATTCTCCTGACTATTTTTGAGTTTTGCAATTATATTACTTCGTAAGTTTGTTTTGTATTCAGGTTTATTGTGATTTGTGAATTTTATACTTTTATCATTCAAAAAGTATGTCATTCACTTAGTTAATTTGAAAATGGTATAATGTATTTATTATTATGTATTTATGCGTATATCTTTCAAAAAATTTATGGTATTAATTTAGTTACGGTTTTATTGCAGATGTCCTTCCGAAAATTCACGCTTTTGATACGGCAGAATGATTACACAGAAAAGACTAGAAAGGAGGTACGTGACATATAAGGTGATTTTCATAAAGTGAAGGTCGGTATGCGACCAAACCTTGAAGAGCTCCGTCATATGTGTATTACAGTTACTTGCATAGAGGACACTAGGAGAGTTGATCGTATGGTGTATAGGCATCAAATTAGAGAAGGCGGGTCATTGTGGTATGCGGAATGCTCATAACCACTGTGGATGAAGTTGATGTCATGCTCGAATTTCTAAATGTAAATAACATTTTCAAAGCATAGATGTTTGTTTACACCAAGGAGGTTCAAGGCGGTGGATGTCATTTTGGAGGTGGGCAAACATCTGGTATTCACGGTGCGGGTGGAGTATATGAAGATCCTCCCTACCAAGGCTAGCATGATCGTTAATTCTACCGTGAGTACCAAGAAGGAGCTGAGGTCATCATCATCATCCCTTCCCATTATACAAAGAAGAAGCCCAACGGTACCATGAGTACCAAGAAGGAGGTGTAGCGTACCAAGCCGAGTACAACTTCCATGGAGATAGCGGTAGTCATCACAACTACCATTATAGAGCGGATGATGGTGTCTTTCTTGATCTAGATGAGATGAATGATATGCTGCTAGCTCTAGTTAGTGACCGTGAAGATGAAGAAGAGGAAGGCAACGTCAGTGCAGACAGCTTCGACCCTCTTGAAGATGATGATGATTCATACCCAGATTCATACTTAGATGATGAGGAGGTGTCCTGTGACCGTGGGTCTATCTTGTACTGCATGGACATTCCAAATGAAAATTGGTATGTTGATGCCTACATGGAGTCTCTAGATGTGCTAATATAGGGTCCAACACTGGGTTTAAGACGGGCCAACAATTTGGTACGAAGAAAGAGGTTCGACACGTTGCTGACACTGAAGCAATGAATTGGGATTTTGAATGGCACATACCAAATTCTGACACGAGTTGGCTCATAGTTAGATGCCAGAATCAACATGAGGGATGCAAGGAAGGGGCGGAGCTAGGTAGGGTCCCCGAGAATTTTGAAAGTTACGTGGAAACATCCTGAACATTTTGAAATATTTATATAAACTAAAGCAGTAGCATAAAAAACTTTGTATGTGCAATAATGTCACATAATTTCGGGAGCAGCTTAGCGGTTGGAATGCTTTTTGTAATTTGTTTACCTAAGGTCAAAAGTTCAAACCAGAGGGCAGAGACTAGTGATTTTAGTTTTTCAGTCCATATTCAAAAGTTCTGTTTAAAGATGATTGTGACCATATTGTTTAATGGTTGAACAATTTCAATTTTCAACATCTTAGTTTATATTTTGTTTTATCAAGAACCTTAATTTAAAATTATATCAATTAATTTTTTCAAGGTACCACATTTGAAGAATACTTTTGGGTAGTTTACATTTTATTTAAATCAATTACTTTCATTGAAAATAATATCAATTAAATTTTTTTAAATTAAAAAGTTGTATTATACTTTTAGGCATAAACTGAATAATTGTTTTGAAATAAAACTATAATTATATATTTATTTTGTCAATTTTAAAATATAATATTGATTATTTTATGAATTAATAAATATCCACATGGCACAGTCAAATTATTGACTCTTTGCCACATGATCCTAAAATTGCCACGTTAGAGTCAACTGACAAGCAACCGCATGGAAAGCTAACGGTTTGGCTATTATTTTGTTTTTTTGAAAGGTTTGGGTATTATTTTATTTAAAATGAAAGGTTTGATCATTACTTTGTATTTACCCTAAAAATTACCGTTATTATAATATTAAAAATATTTCTTTTCTTATTTTCTTTTAATTAATTTTAATATATATTTTTTTTGC